ATGGTGCGCACAGATGCGCATGCACGTTTAGACTTGGAGTGGGTTTACGACGAATACGCCCTAGAAAACACCTGAACAACTTAAAAGTGTGCCAAGTCCGATGAGGAGGGCAGCAGATGATGAGACTCATAACTCTGAGACAAGCGTTTTCTTCCTAATCTATGGAACTCATCGGAAGTGGAAACTGAAGAGTTGCAATGAAGTAAGCCAAAATGTGACGACGACAACATTCTAGAAAATACCTGAACCTTAGAGGGTGCCAATTTCGATGAGGAGGGCAGGCAGGACAATCAGACTCATATCTTTGAAACAAGCATTTCCTGTCTGATCTATGGAACTCAAACACTCCAAGTCCAAACGTGCATGCGCAGGTGTGCGCAGAGAGACATTCAGCATATGCGCACACTCCAAGTCCAATCGTGAATGCACAGGTGTGCGCACAGGGCCATTCATTGCGCACAGAGGCATTCACCATAAGCGCACACTCCACGTCCACGCTTGCATGCGCAGGTGTGCGCTTAGAGGCATTCATCATATACACACACTCCAAGTCCACTCGTGCAAGCACAAGTGTGCGCACAGAGACGTTCATTATGTACACACACTCCATTCATTATACACACACACTCCAAGTCCAATCGTGCATGCGCAGGTGTGCGCACAGAGATATTCTTCCTCTACAAACGCTCCAAGTCCAAACCTGCATGCACAAGTGTGCGCACGCAGACATTCATCATATACGCCCACTCCAAGTCCAAACGTGCATGCGCAGGTGTGCGCACCAAGACATTCGTCATATATGCACATTTCATGTCGACGCGTGCATACGCAGGTGTGCGTATAGAGGCATTGATCACATACACACACTCCAAGTCCAAACGTGCCATACATACGTGAGAGCTGCGCACTCTATCGCACGCCTACGTCGATATCGGCAACGCCAGATGTCGGTAGGTGACGTTCGTGCGAGGATCCACAGACAGAGTCGGCAAGGTGAGCCCACCAGCCACATCTTCACTGCCGATCTTCACCAGCGCACTACGCCGCTCAGCCGACCCGCTGGTCGCACTAGTCTCATTCCCCGTCATGTATGCCGACAGAGGGATGCCGCGCACAAGATAGGGGTGGCCCAACGACAGAGATTGGTCGCTGTCACTGGCCAGAGGGAGGACCGTGATGCCCGCCTCATCGCGCCACATCTCCACCTTGACGATGGCGCCGTGGTGGTTGCACATCTCTTTTGAGAGCGCCTCTGTCGAGTTGGCCGTCAGCACTGGCACGAGCAGGGGCATCTCCTTTTCCAGCTCGTACCAGCCTGGCTGCACCAGAAACGCACGCTGAGAGTCGGTGACCTGCATGCCGTCGGTGCTGTTGGCGGCTGCATTGGTGCCGTTGCCATGTGTGTCGCAGGCGCCTGAGCGGTCCGTTTGTGGTATCGGTCTGATTCTCTCCTCTGGGAGCAGAAAACATTCCTTTTCCACATGGTCGCTGTGAACGGAAGAAGTGAAGAATGAGAACAGAACTGACAGCGCATTGTCATCCCTGCTTACATTGCGTATGGTGGTTCGCAATAGCAGTCTTCTCGTGTAGTGCTGCCGGTTGGTGATGTAAGATGGAGACCAGGACAGCGTTCACAGAGTACGCTGTCGCTCCAAACCGTCTTGTAGGTGCCTGAACGACGACAGAACACAAGAGTTTTATGAAAAAAAGACTCGCAGTCAAGTCAGCATCAGAGTTTTTCTGTATACCTGCTGGACATGGGACGCATATGTTATCCTTGTATTCATATCCCCTGTCGCAAGCTGAGCAGGCCGTACCATTATTCATTTCAACTGCACCACACAACTCAAATCACACAGGGAATAACACAGGATATCAGAAATCGCTCGGTAGTAGAGTAATGAATACTCACCCCGGCCAACACGGCATGACTGACACTTCTCAATGCCCTGGGCGCGTATCGTCACTGTGCCAGGCGGGCATTTGGTGCAATTCAGCCCTCTCCCCTCCCATCCATCCTTGCAGCGACACAATACACCAGCATTCACTGTTGCATCCGCCTGAATGGGCAGAACATATAAGTAACAGCAAGAAAGCAGCATGCAGTTCCTTCTGTCCCTCTTACACGTATTCTCGTGCCAACGGTATTTTGACATATGCCAACGGTATTTTGACATATGCCCGTGCACTCCACGGCCGGATGGACCTCCCATAGAAACTCCGGCTGCCAGTATGTATCTGTACCACTTCTATGCCACTCGCGGTACGGTCGGTAATCTACATATACAAACACATAATCACCGAGCACGTCGCCAATATGAGAATTCACAGCTTCTGAATCTCTCACCATCACGATCACAACAAGCAGGGCAGCAGACTGGTAAGCAAGGTATAGCGGATCGCCGGGGATGTTGCGTCCTTCATTGTGAGCTGAGCACGATGTGTCATTGTGTGGTAGTATCTGCAAAGGCAGCAGCATCAGGTATCGGATAGAGAATAGTCTAAACATTCTACGCACCTGAAGCCTCAGATTCTTGTTGTACTCAAGATTCAGAGCCCGAGGGTGGGAAACGTCGTACCTGCACAAGAACATAGTATGCATCTTAATGCACACAGAGACGTGAAAAAAAGATGTACCATCCATAGTGTATGTCCTCAATCTCATTGGATTCCAGATAAAGGCCTGTCACGCTCACGAACCCCTGTTGCGCCCTCACATTGATGTCGGGATATAAGTCAGCGACCGTCACCGAAAAATCCAGCTTCTCTACATCGATATACAGATCAGAACCATCAGCCGCACTCTCATCCGCCGACTCCACTGCAGGAGCCCCATCATCGTTGCCCACGACCATGCTCATGCTCGTGGCGTTCATCTGCAGTCGATAAGCCGCCATGAACGAGGCCTTGTAGCGCCTGAATATGGGCGTGTTGAGGAGCCCAGCATTGAGAACATGCTCCAAGTTGAAAGTGGTCAGCCCCGAAGTGGTCATCGCATCTGCCGTCAAAGAGCCGTGAAGACCATTGACACTCCCATCTAATGACGCAAGAGACCTTTGCCATTTCCAGGGCATCAGAAACTCGTCTACACTCGTATTAAAGCCATTTCTGCCGAGATCTAGATACTTTAGCTGGGGCCAGTAGGGAGGCGGATTAGACAGGATTTCAGCCACGATGCGAGCACTCGGGCCTGACAAAACAAGTCACACATTTATGAGTTCACCAGGAAGGCCACCGACCTTACTCGTCCAAGCGTGAAGACCAGATGAATGCACTCCCCACTCAAGCGGCTCTAGACGATTACCGGCAATCTGCAGTTCCACTACTGATAAACGAAAACAACAGGAGGGCACAAGTACCGTATATATCTGTGTGTCTCCATAAAGCTCACTCACGGTTGTCCAGGCGTCTCCACCCTGAAGGGATGCGCGGAAGGCGATTGTTATCAAGATTCAGGATCTCCAGCCCTATAACATCACTAGACTATTGATTATGTAACACGTACATCGGATTATATAGTGAACGTACTTAGAAGGCACACGCCAATCACCCTCAAAATCATGAAAGGCATTGTCATGGAGCCGTAGCTCTCTCAGAGTATTCATCCGGCTCAGCCACACCGGAATAACGCCTGTGAGCCGATTGCGAAACAGATCCATGTACCACAGATGCTGGAGGCCCTCGAGCGTTGCAGGCAGCTTGTCAACACTGATAGTAAGATGTACGGGTATAGCAATCCAGCGCGCTCTCTGTCATTTTGTGACCGACCTTGTTTCAGAGATCCAGAGTGTGCAAAGCCCGGAGAGCATATTGAGAGAATCAGGAATAGGACCATAAATGCCCTACACATCACGGACACATGCAGCAACAACGTACTTACACGAGCAGGTCATTTACGTACCTTGACGTTATAGATCATAAGGTCTCGCAAAGAAGTGGCGTTGCCGTATGCGGCCGGGATGGTGCCCGTAACGTTCTCACAGCCCCGCAGCGAAAACGTGTGGATCTTCGGCAACTTCCATAGAGCCGGCAGCCCGCCCCTAACGGCCGTGCCAGCCATGTCGAACTCCTCGAGCGAGCCACAGTGTTCAAATGCCCCTACAAGTGAGCCCGTAACGCTCCAGCCAGATAGCGTCACTATCCGCAGGGTGGTGCATTGAGGGGAAGGGGCGGTTGCAGACAAATTGGCGCCCTGTCCGTGGAAGAGTGAGTGCATGGTGAAGGCCAGTGGGTTGTACCTCAGGCTGAGGGCCTCAAGCGACTTGCCGAACATAGTGTGGAAGGATGGTGGCAGGGTGCCCTCCAGCTGTGTGTCGTGTAAGTAAAGCCCGCGAAGATCGGGCAGGGTGACGATTTCCTCAGGCAATGGGCCGCTCAGACTAACCTGAGATACCAGGCAGCCATCAAGAGAAGACAAGAAAGATTGAGCGGCTCTTTCATTCATTCATTCACCTTGTCTATGTAGAGCAGTCTCAGCTGTGTCATTTCGCCGATTCTCTCAGATAGCCTGCCGTACAGGGGGGCATTCCACAGCGCGACGCCGAGCAGTCCCTTCAGGTCGTAGAAGGATGCATGTAGCTCCACGCCTCCAGGAGGAAAGATAAGATGGTCAGCGTCAAGCACCATAATGTAGCTGTCCACCATCCCATCGCCCCCTCCAACCCATTCGTCCATCGCACCCCTCGTTGAAGGCCCCTTGCGCCCCGTCCGGAAGCGAACGCGCACGATGAAAGGCAGATCGCACACGCGGAAGACCCCGCAGCCGCACCCCCTCTCATCTCGATGTTCAGTGAGCGAATGAACTCCCTCAGCGGCCCTCGAGCGTCATCCTCACACACGATGCAGTCCTCATTTATGATGCCCACTGTCCCATTAGTCTTGTTTGCAGCACTGGACCCCGCCAGCGCACGCATCGATGCGCCGGGCATCACGCGGTCCAAACCGAATGGCCGGTAACTATGAAGCAGTTGCAGCTTCGCCACCACTGATGTGGCACGGCCGGGCTGCGGTGATGTACTGGTCGAGATGGCGGGAGTGTCCGCTGAGACTCTGAACCAGTCGCTGTATTGGTGTAGCATATCTGTCTCAGCCGACACGCCATCAGCCACATCTCTCGTCAACCCATTGGCAGTTTCAGCAATCTGCAGCTGACGGGTTGCTGCCGCCAGTGGATGCGATGGATCGCAGCGGCAAGGCTTGTCACATTGATCTTCCACAGTCGAGGTGCCTGTCGTAGCCGGTCTTCCATCCACTTCACCAGAAGCGAGACCAAGGACGAGGAAGAGTCCAATGCAGAATCTCAACAATGAGAGCCGCCGCCGTCTTCGATGCGAGTTACATCGTGCCATGGGTGGTTCATTGGCACACTGACTTGGGTCCGATCTTTCCCAGCTCGCAAAACTGACTTAGGGTACTCCATGAAACCGCTGCTGCTGCTGTGTTGGGAGGTGCCTTCTTCCAGCCGCGTGCTGGGGTGGCGTGCGTGTGACGCTATGTGCCTGCTCGCTCGTATGTTGCCGTCGTTCGTAGCGCATTGCATATCCACCTGTTTGCTGCTTCTGCCCTTTGCGTGCTGCGTGTTGCGTGTGCGTGTTGCATGTTGGGGTGCATGTTGCATGTTGGGATGGACAAACATGGGACTGGGCCGTCAGGCCGCCTAGGGTACTTCCTGAAACCGCTGCTGCTGTGTTGGGAGGTTCGTCAACGTGTGTGGATGGAGAGATGGGATGTACACAGACAGGCACAGAATCGCCGGGTGAGTGAGTGAGCCACACACACAATACCGCACAGGCAGGCATCTTGCCAGATCTCTGCATTCGTATTGACTGTCCTTTGTTCTCTGTGCAGGCGGGGCTGTGTGTGTGTGAACGATACGCAGAGCTGGTGTGTTCCGCAAAGTTGATGAATGCACAATCTGTCTGCGCGTGGGTCAGCACGCATGCACAAGCACACGAGGAGGCGTGCGTCAGTCGCGTGTGGTCTTATCTTGTTCGTGTATGTCAGTCAGGACGTTTCTGTCGATGCTGGCGGTCGGGGCGAGTGCAGGAGGGTTGCTCGCTTCACGCGCATGCGGGCCAGATCTTACTTGGTACACAGGTCAGTAGGCAACGACAGACTACGCACTGTATGGACGTACCAATCTTACACACGTACCAAGAATCTATGAGAGCTCCTCGTGTGGGCACGCACGTACACACCGTGTGTGAGGCAGCCGGCCAGGTGGTCCTTCGTCCTGCTCGCTCGCTGCACATAACAATACATAAACCGACAGAGAATAATAGGCCGAGGCGAACGAACACTATTCCTCCTCCTTCATGGGAGGTTCGATGGCCTTTTGCTTGGACTCTTCGGCTGCTGAAGAGGACGGCAAAAAGACTCGGATGTTGCTGAGGCGCTCGGAAAACTAAAGGTGCCACTAAATCACTCGACCTTGGCCGACGACTTTAAACGTCGGAAAGATGCAGGTACACGAGGGTCGCCACAGACACAGCACAATCAAACCTGTGTCGCTGTGCCTATAATTTGCAGTCAACTCCGGTGTAGTGACGCCCTCTCACCGTGAGCGCCTCTTCATAGTGGCCAAGACACTTTGTGACCCCTTTAAGCCAAGTGCCTTCTGGTGGAAGCCAATCTTCCTCCTCGTCCGAGTCGGGTACAAGGAAAAAGGAGAGGTAAGTCGTGTTTATCAAGTGTTTTCGTCTCGTCGCAGGATTTCCGCAAGCATCATCATCTTCGCGAGACTTCAGGCCCCAGGTTTTCAAGCCTTTCTGGTATCCTCGGGGAAAACAAGAAGCCTGCTTGGATGATACGGACCCTTTCTTCATGTTTGCAGTGCGCACTGCTGTCACTGGCGTACCTCTCGGGCCTCCTGTATTTCTTACCGTACAACCGACCGACGGACAACTTCTTCGCCATCGTCTGTTTCACCTCTCTGCTCCTCGGCTTCACATTCGTGTCGTCCTTGGGCTTGTTGCGAGATTACCCAGAGGCAGAAGCCGCAGCACAAGTGATGGTCGGCTTCATTTTCTCCGGCCCCGGCCTGTGCTTTTTGTTTTTGGCGAACTTCGCCCTGATGCCATATCACTCGGGTGAGCGACTGCGCGACCTGCTGACGCCTGCACCTCCTCCAATAGATTCGGGAGAGACGACTTCAGCCGGTACCGGGGCAGTTCCTCAGCCGCCTGGGGAAGGAGAGACAGCCAGTCCGCCAGTGGATATTCAGGTTCTCTCAACCTCAAGTGGGAGCCGCCTGGCGATTCAGCTGAAAGAGGGGGTCGTGACCACTGACGAAGGCGAGGGCGGTGAAAGTTCTGAAGGCCCGCCTCAGACTGAGGGACTGAGGGGTAGGAGATGAGTCTTTTGCAGGATTGGGCCTCAAAGTGAGAATCGCGTCTTTTTTTCTGACCCTAGTTCCACACGAAAGACAGCTTGTCGGAGGGTGGTAGATGGCCCCCCTTTTTCGCCTTTAGAGGGACCAATACGTGTCTCCGACTTCCTCGCCACCTTGCTTTTCAGCTCCGAGGGGTCCCTGACATCTCCACGGGCCTCAAAACCACCAACCGAAAGGCCATCGCAATTTGGTTACTCGGATTTTGGTTTTGAGCCCGCAAGGACCAGACAAGGGACTCTGGGGAAACAGAATGAAGGCCTAATCATAACTGGCACCCCACTTGGTCGCCAGTCACCTGTGCCCCCCTCTCCTTCCCTCATCAGGGGGAAGACGGAAGGTCGTGAGTATCGCAGTTTTTGAGTCCACTCGAAGGCCGTTTTCGGGCATATGTGGGGATGCGTTGATGCCGTAGGTGACACATTCTGTGCAAAGAACCCTCCCACCCCCTCTCCAGCCTTCAGGATGGGGCATCCGGGCACCCGTCGACAGACAGACCGCAGTTCTCGAGCGGCTTCCGCCGAGCTTTTCAGCGGTGTGTTGAGCGAGCGGCGACGCTTTTATGCTATTCGCGGCCTCCCTCCGTGCTGTCACTGCCCTCACCGCCCTCACAGGCCCGCCACGTGGCCGCTCAGATGCCCCTGCAAAGACATCGACTCAGTGTGGCGGCAGCGATGAAGCAATGGTTTCCATCAAGATGGATGTCGTGCAGTGATTTCCATTCCTCCTCTTGGCCATATGGACCACCGCAGAACCCGCTGGGACGCTGCGAGATGAATCAAAACCGACCGCGAGCTAAGATCGGCGACTGATCGCCTCACCCCCTCTTTTCCGTGTCACTTCGGCGATGCGTGCCACGTTATTTTCCCTTTTCGCAACAAAGAGGTGTTTTCAGCGTTCAACTGATGTGTCACATCACGTGCTGCCGAAGTTGGAACCGTGCGGTTTCAGTAATGTTGCACGATGGATTCTGCGCGGCGATGCCTGCCGGCACCCAGACACTGGCGTAACGGTCGCGCCGATCCAACCGAATTCCATCCAATGGGGCTCTTCCGTGTGGAATGCCGTGGGTTCGTTTTTTTGCGTGTTGGGAGTTCCGAAAGTTCGTCCGATTTCGTTTACGCATCCACGACTTTTTGCTGGTCTCGGGCAAGCACCACTGCCTTTTTCTGTGTCTGAGATAATCACTCTTTTCCCGCGGAGTGTTGTGGGTTTTGTTTGGCTCCGTTCGTGTGAATGCTGGGGCTGCTCTCGTGTTTATGTCATGAATGTATGTGGGGCCTGGCTGTTGTGTCGACTCGCAAGCGACGGGTTGTCCAAAATAGGCGTGCTCTCCCTTGCGGGTTGGCGCACAGACAGATGACGCGGGTGGGAGGAGGCTGCATGCATGATCAATAGCCTCTTCACTTGGGTGCAAAATGGATGGTGCTGATCTCTTCTTGCCTGCCCGCATGTGTGTGAATTCGTACAATCACCGATTCGTCTATTGGCTTTGTGGCTGTGTGACGACTGTGCATGGTTCATACACGACTTTTCGTGGCGGACAGATAGGCAATGACACACCCGCTTTTAGGTGGTCACTTCTGTGGTAGTCAGTTTCGGAAGACGGTTATTTGTCTGCCTATTTGTCCGCCGAGCACTTAACTCGTAAACGTCTTGTGTGTGTCTTTCTTTGTCGCCATTCACGGGGTCGTCTGATTGACGGGTGGGTGGGTCACACGGGGGGGTTGATGTCCACACATGGGGGATGGACATACACATGTCGTGGTGCGAGACACCGACACAAAACACTGAAAACGCCATCATGCTGCCAATCCCGGGGAATCCGCATCCACATTAGATTTACCTCCTTTCCTGGGTGCGGCGCTCGTCAGCCGTTGGACGACTCCGAAAAGAGGCGGCTGCCTGGGGCGGTTTCACGGGAAAAATACTTGACGCCCGCATCAATTCCCCCCGTCGACGATGGTCTTGTGTTACGCGCGCATGCTCCGTGTTGCGTTTTTCCCGCATCTGTGGCTGTCCGTCCCACTAACGGCGACTGTACGGCGTATGATCCATGCCGCTTTGTTTCCTCGACAAAGACAGCGATCCTACGGGGTGTAGCGGTGGAGGCATGATTGTCATTTTGTGTAGAATTCAGGCCACACTTCACGAGAAGAAACATGTAGAGCCAAGTCTGTCACGACACCGCAGACATCTTAGACACACACACGGTGGCTGGACCCTTTCTCATCGCGTCGCCACAGATGAAGTAAGTCATCGCATCAATTGCTTGCGTCTCTGTCGAAGTCTGGCTTTGTGGAAAACACTCGCAATCTCCTCCAAGCTGCGGCCACCCGTCTCGGGGACGCAGACGCAGGTGATCAACAGGATTATTAGAGTCGTACCGGCGTACAGAGCAAACGTACCTGAATCCGACCATGAACGAATGCACGTAGAGACATGATGCAATTCCGCCCACTCGCCCACCGTGGACGCTGAGGAAGTCGAAGAGCGACTCGAATGTGTGACTCGAGAGAAAATGAGTAATCCAAAAGGCTGTCATGGACATCCCCGTGCCGACCTGCGTAGATGGTACGCGAAATATGCGGTGAGTACACAATCGATACATAGCTGGTGCACGTACGTACCCCTCTGAGGTGAGACGGCAGGACCTCCGAGATGACAACAAACATGAGGCCGGCCCATCCAATGCTCCGGAACAGAAACAGAGGTAGCATGCCCATCATGCACAGAGGACCTCTCCATGAGGCGTACGTCGACGTCGTTGGCTGTACATGTACACACACCACGCATTCATGGCAGTTGCTCTCTCCCTGTGCGTGTGTGGCCAGACCTACAATTGTGAAGGCACATGATAAGCATATGTGGCAGAAGAGGGAGCCCGTGTTGCATATGTTGAGCAAGGTCTTTCGTCAGCATTGCTCGATGAAGGCAAAGCTGAACACCACTCCGAGGAACTTGAGCAGAACCCTCACTGCCAAGGCCCCAAAAGGCCACTTCACGCCCGCCATCGTAAGCAAATCAGTGGAATAAGACATCACACTAGCGGACGCGATAAAATTCTGCATCATTCATTCACGCAGACAAATGGCTTGAACATGTTTCGTGTTGTGTATTGTGTCAACGCACTGGGGCTGCTCCGCAGAATACAGCGATAGAGACGTCCACGCGAGGGCGCCGCAGATTCTGCAACACACTACACACACCCAAGGAGATATGCTCCAGATGGCACATCTCAACGAGCGTCGTGATCTCCGCCAAAGTCAGCGAGTAGGCGGCGGAGGCGGACTTGTGCAAAGCAGCCATGCGATCACGCTCTGAGCACATCAGCAGACACAGCCTTGCGCGTGTGTTTTGGGCATATGTCTGTGTGTGTGTGTGTGCATGTGTCTTTGTGAGTGTGTACCTCGTCGCTCTTTTGCCTCGACTGCGGCGGCCAGTGGATAGCATTTGTGCACATCCTGATTGGCTGGCGTGGTCAGTCTGTGTACCACAACGTCGACAGCACAGGCAAAGGGCACAGTGAGCATGCGGCCGTCCTCTCATGAGCCGTCTCAAACAGCATGCACACGAGCGTGTTATCATGTCGTTTGTCTGTTCCCCACTCGCTTTCTGTTGCGCATGGCTAGTCAAGCTCTGTGGATCGCTGCTCAGCTTGCGGGTGTCGACACGTGGCAGCTGTGGTCCATGAAGGGGCTCGGTACCTTTCTGTCTGACTTCTTGTCGAGCATGCGGGAAGAGCAGGCATGTACGGAGTGCTGTGTGCAATGCGGAGACAGGAAGGATGCGTTCTCTTTTGTCAAGGGGGACATTCCATCCATGTTTACCAACATAGATGGAGACAGCGCACTCTCTGCAGCCAGGGAGGTGCTTACTTTAGTTAAGCACCGCACACACGGCAGGTACATCTGCGTGAAGCGTGGCACACGGGTGGAGGGTCGTATCACCAGACAGCGCAGCAAGAGCAAGCGTGAGGTGTCGTTCACCTTTGATGAGGTGGCGTGCCTGATGGCCTTTGCATTGCGTTGGCGAGTGTTTCGCATCGGTTAGATCGTCATGCGTCAGCGGACAGGTCTGCCGATGGGCGGGATGTCCTCCATGGTAATGTCCGGCCTTGCCTTGTCTGCTCGAGAGAGGGACTTCTGTCGCGAGCAGATTTTCGCCCGGCGGCGGCGGGGCCTTTTCTCGCAGCTACCTTGGCGGGCGGTGCGTTACGTGGACGACAACCTGTATGGCTCGACTGTCTTATGCCTACCTTGCCTGCGTCGTGTGGCTGAGTGTATATATAGCGGTCGTCTCGCTCTTGACATAGAAGAGGTCGGCTCATCTGTTACGTTTCTAGACACACACATTATCGGCACACACGAGCATCCACACATAGAGCACACCAGTCGCAATACCGAGCGTGTCGACGCGCTGGCCGATATGCGTGTAACGCGCTTTCTGCCTTTCCTTGGCAGTGTGCAAGGTGAGGTCGGAAGCATGAGGGGCATGTTTCAGGGGCATGTTTTGCGTGCATTGGACTGTTCGCCTTCTCTCGATGCGGCCCGTGTGGCGTTGCGTCGGGTGGTGATGGAATGGCTACTGATTGAGCTACCCGGCTGACTTGCTGGATAGGTTTGCATGTGCCACACCTCATGTGCATCCACTAGTGAGTGTCTTGCGCGCTGCTTTGCGTTCTCTTTTATGTGCACAATACAACCGCGCCTGACGTTTTGGCTGCGTGCTCGCGATCGTTGCGTCTCGTAGATCGCGCCTCTACCTTCTCCGCTTGCTTTTTGGCCCTATCGCTGCTGTACAACACTGTCATGGGCCCGGCTATCAGCTTCTTTCACACCTGAATCGCCTATCTGCCTTCCTGGTATGCATGCGTGTGGAACACGGGAAGGGACACAGGGATGCAAACGGATGTACATATGTGTGTGTTGTCGGTGCGCTGTTGTTGCGTTGGTGTGCTGTGGTTGTGGCAGGTTGTTTTTGGCACCCCTGTGTTTCGTCGCTTTTCCGTTTGAGTGCTTTCCACAATACTATCTGGTGCGCACTTGTACACACTGACTGGATGGCTGGAATGCATGTGACCATTATGCTGTTGGTGTTCTGCTGGTGTGGTGGCTATGGCAGGTTGCTTTTCGCACCCCGCTGTCGCATCGCTTTTCGTTCGGGTGCACTCTACATACACTCTCTCTGGTACGCATCAAGACAGACACAGCCATCCACTCGCATACGCATACTGTCTGTCTGTCTCCCTGGCTGGCTGGCTGTGCATGCAATGTTCTCAGGCGTGTTATTTGCTTTTGCCGGTCGTCTGCGAGTTTGGCAGCGGCAGTTCCCTGCCTTGTCAACGCTCACAGCGCCCATTGGTTGAGCTCGCTGTATGACCGGCACTGCATGACGGACCTTCACGCCTGACGTTCATTCAATCGCTCTCGAGTCCCCATACTTGAGCTGACTTGTGTTAAGCCCTGATCATCGCCATCCGATGGTTAATCGACACAAGACCGCAACCACAGCCTCATCAAAATGCGTCTCTCCTGTGAACCTTCCGCGCACAGTTTTACCTCTCAAACCGAAAACCTAGACCCGTCGTGCTAGATGCTGCGCTGGATGAATGGGGTGGTGCCTAGGGGTTCATTTGCCTTAAACCAACACAATCTCTGAGTATTTTTTTTGGCGGGGTAAATGCATGAAAAGGCGACGAAGTTCGTGCAAGCCTCAAAGACAATCAACCGAAGATAAGCGCTCAAACCACACAATCAGGCAAACCGATACGAACGAAGCGAAAAAGCACAAGTGCAATCGAAAACAAAGACACAGAAGTATGCGTGTGAGCGCATGTGTCTGAGAGTCTCGTATCTTCATGTGCGTGCGTGTAGGTGTCGGGTGTCCGTGTGCGCTTCTTGAGGTGCTGTTCTGGGGAGAGCTTTGTGTGTGTGTCCGCATAGTGGCTGCTAGCCGCCACTTGGCTCTCCGCCGCCGGAGAGCGGAGTGGCGCCTGCGTGACCTCTTGCAGGCACACTCATCCATCCCTTCACATTTGTGTCGAGGGCGTATTTGTGAGTGTCCGGTTGGTTTACACTGGCTAGCGTTCTCTGCACGCCATATACGTGTGGGTCCGTAGCGTGAAGCGCACGTCACCGGGCTTTTTCAAGAGCCAAATGGCCACCCCAGGCCGGCCGTCCGCTGGGGTGACGTGCGCGTGATGTTGCGTGTCTGGCATATGTGTTGCTATTGTAGATCTACCCGCCTACTGCTTCTGCCCTCTTACATGTGCGTGTTGTCAGAATTGGTGGGAGAGAGAGGCGGTGAGAATGGTGAAGAGAGGATCAGTCGGGCGGTCAGTCCCGCCCGAATAAAGGATTAAGTCAATGTGACCAAAGGATATGAATCATGATGCAAAGTCCACGCATGACATGAAGCATAGATCAGTCCATCCTGTCTGACGTCCTGTCTTCCATGGTCTGTCTCATGGACACGCACGAGATCACCATAGGCGTCCTGTCTCACAGATCAGTAGATCGTCGATCTACGGTGGACCGACTTGCACTTCTGACACCCCCTCTCAAGTCGGTACAAAATAGGGCATCAGTCCTCGTAAAACCATTACTTGACCAAAATGCTGCGCGAGGGAGGTCTTCGCTACCACAAGAGATCTGCACAAGGAGCAGCTCTTGTCAAGAAGAAAAACCAGAAAGTGATGTGCCAAAGGCCATCAGTGGGGCACAAGGACAAGAAGAACAGAGTGAAGCCGCAGATCCAGACGGCGGACATTACTATCAGAGATAGAGAGAAGCGAAGGAGTGCTCCTCTGCAACCTCAAGTAAGTGGTCAAAACCACACAAGGAAGGCAAGCACTTCACAAACATCATTCATGACACATTCTGCCTGCCTGTGATCTTCTGACTCAGGTACTCGTGTGCCTCTCTGCCCAATCCCTTAGTCAGTATGTCAGCGACATTCTCAGATGACGGTACGTAACGCACAGACACAACGCCTAACTGAACCAGATCACGTAGATAGTGGTAACGCACATCGATGTGTTTGGTTCTCTGGCTGACTATCGGGTTGTGTGAGCTCAGAATGGCACCTCCACTGTCAGCATGCAAGACTGCACTGCCAAATCGAATGCCGAACAGCTTCACTTCCTTCACAAAATCAGCTAGGTAGACGAGGGCAGTAGCACACTCACACATTTGTACATATCCTGCCTCGACAGAAGATAGAGTGACGATTGGCTGTGTTTTGGCGCTTCACAGGACAGGGCCTCCACACAGAAAAACAACGTGACCCCCACTGGACTTCCTATCCTTGCTATCTGCCCATGATGAATCAGAGTACGCACACAAATCCAACACACTGTCTGACTGACATGCATTGAACTCTATCCCTTTCTCCCTTGTTGCACTCAGGTATCGCAACACACGCTTGGCTGCTGTCCAGTGGCTCACTCCTGGGTTGTGGGCATGCTTGGCCAGCTCCTTGACGGCGAATGCGATGTCCGGTCGGCACGTAACGGAGCAAAACATGAGGGACCCCACAAGTTGTCGATAGGGAATCTTGCTCATCTTCTTCTTTTCGTCCTCGGTCTGCGGTGCCATATCGCCGATCAGTCTCACACCAGACGCATACGGGAATGGTGTTGAGTTGGCTTGATCCATGTTATACTTGCTGATCATCTTGTCGATGTATTGTGGTTGTGTGACGGTCAGGTGTCGTCGTGGTCGGTCTCGAGTGATCTTAAGTACCAGGAACACATCAGCCTCGCCCAGATCCTTTGTCGCGAAAACGCTCGACAGCTGTGATTTGAACCAGGTGACCCCCTCTTCGCGGCTGGCGATAAGGATGTCGTCGACGAACACACACAACATGACTCCTTTGTTGTCGTGCAGGTACACACAGGGTTCCTTGGGATGACGGCGGAAGCCGAGATGCAGTAGCCGGTTGTGGAGGGTAATGTTCCACGCACGTGGGGCCTCTTTGAGTCCGTAAAGGGCCTTGCGGAGGCGGACAACATATCCCGGGCGCTCGTATCCAGGTGGACACTCCATGAACACTGGCTTGTCGAGCGGCGCGTTGAGAAATGCTGTGTTGACGTCCATTTGGTGAATCTCCAGATCGAGTTGGTTGGCGATGGCCAAGATTGCTCGCACGACGTGGTAAGAGGGCGTCGGGGCGAACACATCATCCACTTGGTTCTTGTCTTGTTCGAATCCGCGAGCGATGATGCGGGCCCTGTACTTGTCAGGCTTGAGGGCATACACCCACCGACAGGATATCGGCCGGCTGGTCGCCTGAAAGCGGAGCACATACGAACACACCTAGGTCAGTAACCGATTCGATCTCCCGATCCATCGCATCTTGCCAGTGGCAGGCGTTGAATGTCTTGACTGCTTGCTGGTAGGTCTTGGGCACTTTGGATGCGAAGAGCTGTGTCATCGGTGGCCTCGCGAGTGCTGCTGGTGCATCGATGTCGACGGCCAGGCTTGGCATCGTGTCGTCCACATCGTCAGCAACACACAGTCGTTCGATGACGGCAAAGATGTTGTTCTCGTACAGCCACCGAGGGATGAGTTGATCTCGACCTGATCTCCTTCGGTGCTCGGCGTTGTCGTCTTCTGCCCCCTCCCCCTCTCGAATGACTCTGTAGTTGTCAGTGGCACCTTCATCGGCATCGGCGGCGAGTTCTTCTCCATCTTGGGCATCTTGAGCGGCCGGCGGTGCTGCTGGTGCTGCTGGCGGCCCTTCGAGCGGTGGAAGGTCGTCGGGCTCTTGTTCTTGGTCTTCCTCGTGTTAATGGACACGCTCATCGTCTTGATGCTTCTGATATCGGTCATCTTCAGGCTGCTGAGCACGTTGGCGGTCTTGGTGGTCGTCGATCTGCTCGTCAGGTGAGACGGGCGTCTGCGGATACACCAAATCAATCCCTAGTGGTCCTCTCGGTTGCTTCTCCTTTGCAGGAAACACGTGCTCATCCACTTCAACGTCTCGTGAGATAACGAATTGACGATCATCAGGCAACCACACCACATAGCCATCCTTCATATTGAGGTCAAAGCCGACAAGGATGCCTAACTTGGCCCGTGGCTTCAGCTCGCCTCTCTGGTCCTTTCGCTGATGTACGTACGCTCTCGCGCCGAATGTGCGGATATGCTTGATGCATAGCGGGTAACCCCAGAAGAGTTCGAACGGTGTCTTCTCTCTCGAATTGGTCTTGGTTGGCATGCGATTTTTGATGTAGGTGGCGGTCTTCGCAGCAAAACACCAATAAGACGAGGGAAGGCCGGATTAGAAGAGTGCTGCACGAGTCAGCTGGCACACCACTCCAATCGTTCGCTCTGCCACGCCGTTCTGTGACTGATGATGCGGCAGGCTCTTTTCTTGGCGTATCTGGTGCTGCTCGCAGAATGCCTTCCATGCACCGGCGATGAGTTCTGCTCCTCCATCGGTCCTCACTGCCTTGGGCATGCGGACGGCCATGCAGTAGTGCATGAACGCCTTTGGTGCAGTGGACTTCTTCTTGAGGAAGTAGGCCTGCATATAGCGGCTGTAGTCATCCACCATGACCATCAGATACTTGAATTCTCTCTCGCTGAGTTGCTTGATCTGCGCCAGGTCGACGTGCACTAAATCACCAGGCGACGAGTGACGGAATGCATTTCCCAAGTATGACCGAATCTTCATCTTGGCTTGAAAACACATATCGCACTTATGCTGCTCTCCCTCCTTCTTCTTGCCTTTCTTGACAATAGATGCGTTGCGGCAGACTTCAGGTAGTCGGTCGACGGTTACATCGTGGTAGTGGAGCAAGCGCTGATAGGCAAGCGGCTCAGTGATGACCTCGGCTACCATCACTCCTGCTTGCTCGCCATTTCCCTCAGCAGGTAAACAGAGGGATGCGCCATCACCACCACACGAGTCGATCACGGTTGCTGCTGGTGTCTTGTGCTCTGTCGCCGGTAGGCCATGTGGATGCGAGTAGATGGGGCAGTCGTTGGCATCCCTGTAGATGTCCAGGTACCAGAAACGACCACGTCTGATGAGTGGGTAGCGGTCTCCTCTCCTTGTTGCGGTCATGTGGGCTGCACCGGGGCCGATAACGAACTCGATGCAGAATTTATCTACCAGGTAAGCGACGGAGAATAGGTTGAACTTCAGATCAGGCACGTACAGCACACCATCCACACACACGGTCTTCTTGCCGTTGTTGACCTCTTTGCAGGTGTACTTGATGCGGCCGACACCTCTGGCTGGTACAGACGTGCCATCGGCCGTGACGATCTTGATGTGTCGGTCGAGTGGCTTGATCTCGTCGAAGAGAAACTGCTGGTGGCAGCATGTCTTGCCGGCTCCTGAATCGATCATCATCGAGGTAGGTCATACAGACACACCACTGACGTTGACCACCTCTTCCTCGCGCTCAATGGCCGTGACAGTCCCCACCATCTCCATGTCGGTCACTCTCTGGTTGCAGGTGTCGTCGATCTGATCACACCCGTCGAGTTGATACGCCTGAATGCGTTGATTGCGGTTGTTCATGCCGTTCGTGCTCGCGGCATTCATGATGATATCTCCATCCTTGTCGTGACGGACGATGGGCTGCTGCTGCCGCCCACCATTGCTCCCTTGATGTCCTCCATTGCCACTCGGGTAGGTGCGGAAAGGCGCCCCTGATGAGTTCCACTGATTGCCGTTCCTTCTATTGTTGTTGTGGTTGTTGTGGCTGTTGCCGTAGGTTTGGCCGTTGCCGTTTGGTTGGCGTCGCCATTCGTAGCGGTTCTCACGGTTGTCTCGGTAAGGCCGTTCGTTGTTCCTGTTGCCTCCTTGATACATATCAGGTCGATTGCCGTTGTGTGGCTGACTGTGTTGGCGACCATTCTGGTTGCCCCTTTGTCGATTGCGGTCACGCTGCTGGCTCATCCTTCTCGCATGCTGCATGCGGTCGTTGGCATTGCGGAGGGCTTCTTCGAATTGCTCCCATGTGAGGTCGTTGAAGCGGTAGTCCAACGAGCTCTTGAAGCGCTCGAATCGAGGAGGTAGGGCATTGACCATGATGGCAATCTTCGTGTTGTCGGTCGGTTTCTCTCCCATGTCGCTCCGTTGTTTCGCCAGGAAGTTGAAGTCGGTGAGAGCGTCGTCAATGTCGTCCTTCTCAATTTGATACTGGAAGAAGTTGCGGAGGACCTCATGCCGACAAACGACTCACTCAGGTCCGCACCGCTTGCGCAACTCTCAATAGACTCGTGCACCATTCTCGCCATACTTGTCGAATGACTCTTGGATGATCCGTTTCGCCTTGCCTTCTGTGTGCAGGACGAGGAAGCCGAAGAGCTGTCGCAAGACGCTCCTCTCTTGCTTCTGCTTCTCGGTAAGGTCTCCCCCTTCTTCACCCGGAACAGGCAGCGGAGAGATGTCTTCTTCCTTCTCAGGCATCAGGTGCTCGGTGGGCATCTCCTTGGCCAGGAGGAAGGCTCTGAGGGTGAACTCCCACTCGCGTCAGTCGTCCTTGTCTCCATTGAAGGTACGGATGACGGTCTTCGGGTCGAATGCAAAGATGGGCTGCTGCGCCATAGCTGCTGCTCAGGTCGACCGGTCAGGATCGTCACACTGGCTGCTGCTGAAGAGGCGCTTTATGCTGATCAGGCCCTTCGGGGCTGATAACACCGAGAGAACGCGGACTGATAGACCGGTTAGGATCTATCAGCTGCTGCACAGACAAGACTGCTGAGAGACTGCCGATAGACGGATAGACAGACGATAGACGGATAACAGACAGACCTGTTAGGATCTGCCGATCAGGCGGGAAAGGCAAACTCACTCGCTGCGCCCATGTCAGAATTGGTGGGAGAGAGGCGGTGAGAATGGTGAAGAGAGGAGCAGCCAGGCGGTCAGTCCCGGATAAAGGATTAAGTCAATGCGACCAAAGGATGTGGATCATGGTGCAAAGTCCACGCATGACATGAAGCATAGACCAGTCCATCCTGTCTGACGTCCTGTCTTCCATGGTCTGTCTCATTGACACGCATGAGATCACCATAGCCGTCCTGTCTCACAGATCAGTAGATCGTCGATCTACGGTGAACCGACTTGCACTTCTGACAATACGGAAGGGGTGGGGGGGGGGGGGAATGCCGGGGGGCTTT